CATTGTGGAAGGAGCATTAAGCAGGAGAGCAGAAAATACTGACCTGGAAGTCAAGCTGGTTGGAGTAGGGATGAAAGCAGCAGTTTGGAGAAAAACAGATAGGGAGTAAGACAGCAAAAGAGAATAAAGGGAAGAACACATTAGTTCTTTAAAATATAACAAGCAGATGTTATATTAGCAGATCATTAAAAAAAATAAAAAAGAAAAAAAAAAAAGAAAAAAGAGACAGGAAGGAAAAGCAAGAATTAAAATGAAATTTCTGCAGAGAAATTTCTACATCCTTCCTGTGCACTGAAGAAAACAAACTTTAAATCAAAAAGGCATCATGTCATTGGTGGACAGAGGAAAGACATATATTTATAACCACCCAAATTCCAAATTCATGTACACACCAAATAGAACAAATAAATTGAATTAATATTAGTAGCACTTGCTGCCACATAAACATCTCATAATATGTCACAAAGTCTTTCCTTGAACTATCATAGGCTGGTGACCCTCATTCATCAAGTCTTCCAATGGAAGTCAAAGCAGCTAAACAATTTGGCCACTTGTTCAAAGATATTTAGAAGTTCACAAAGCACTGTAACTAATAATCAAAGATGAAGATTTGACACTCCACCTCACCCAGGAAATGCAGCCCCTTCCAATGTTGACAACAAATTTCTAATTCAGTTTGAAGAAGAGAATTAATATTTCAACACAGAAAATACTCTGATTTTTGATAACTTAATTTGATAAAAATACCTAATACACCCTTTTCAAAAAAGTAAGGCCAAAACAATCCCCACCCAGCTAGACTAGTCCCTAAATTTGTCCCTGACACACAGCATTTAGTGCATTTAGGAAAAGGAGCATATGTAACAGCCATAAAGTACTTTTTTTAAAAATACAATTATTCCACATGCTGGTAGTTTGTCTCTTGTGCAATGACTTGTCACTGCTGTGTGGACTTACCTTCATGAGAATTCAAATCCAAACTAATTCAGAATGAATTAATTGTAGTCTGAATACCCCAAGAGCTTGAATACACATCTACAGTGTTATATACCCACTGCATATGAGAAGTAGATAACAAACAAAAAAACTTGTTTAAGAACAAACAGCTTTGTCTCATGGCTAGTACAATACTTTTAAATGAACTTTTATATTGTTGCAGTCTTTGCTGAGAAGCTCCACTTAGCCAAGCAAATGACTGAGTATCTCATATACCACTAGAGAAAAGTGGATCCAAGATTTTGGAATCTTCACCATGTTGTCATTATTTTTTTTCTTTCTCTTTTCAGTCTAAATTTACCAATGGATAATTTATATTGTATTATGTGCCAGTGCTCTTTTACTGAAATCACTCATTCCCTGCAGAGCTTACCCTTTCACATATTTATACAGAACAAGCATCCCTACAGAGCTTGGCTTTGCCAGAGAAATAAACCACTGCTGCTTAGACTCCTCCTGTGTCATGAGCACTTCATTCCCTCTTAGCAGCCCTCTCTGCACCTGTTTCAGTTTTAATTCAACTTCCTGGCATATGACTGATGAGAAATACACAGCAGTGTTCCACACAGAGCCTTGCCAGCACCTGATGACATTAATACCTTGCTATCCTTACTGCAGGTATTTATTCTGACACATCAGGATTCACTCCTCATTATTTAAGATCTCTGCTTCATTATTTAGATGGCTCATAATGACACGGCCATAAGCAAATTCACCCAGTTTTTCTTTTCCTAAACTCTATCAAGGATTATCCTTAGTTTATATCAAGCAGCCTTACTGGCCCTAACTTCACAAACATGCATTTTATGCCATTGTATTTCACTTCATCTTGTGATTCAAATTCTCTATCCCATTTCATAAATATACTTCTCATTCTAACACCATTAATAAAAGCTTTAAACAATATACTCCTTCAATCCTAATAGTTCTGTTCCAGCTGCAGCTCCCTCTCCTTGGTGAGGCTCTTTTCATTAAAGCTTGAGCTGATCTCTGTTTTATCCAGTTTCATTTACATTACTAAAAAAACCCACAAAAATAAAAACCAAAAAACCCTGAACCACATTTCCTTCATCAAGAAAACCAAAGAAAAACAGCAGACTAAGTTGAACAAAAGCACATTATACATTAAATGTAATAGCTTGCATTTAATTTTAAACTTTTTAAAATTATAAACAGATAAATTGTGAAAATTGTAATAAAAGTTATCAAATAGCTTTAGTATAGAAGAAGGAGTAGGTTCTCCTGTGTAGTAATAAGAAACTGTAAAATACAAAGTTAATATAGAGAGTAATTTAAGAAACAGACCAACGTGATTTTATATGAGCAATAATATTAATCTGAAGTGATGACACTCAGGAGTGTGATCGTTTCTGAGCCAAGAAAATCACATTAAAACCGAAAGAATTACCATTCATATGAAGACTTCTTCATAATTATTAATAATGTTCATCTGCCAAGTAGCACACACTTATAAATTTAACTGCTCATGTCTTAAAGCAGATATTTCTACCCGATTATTTGACACTTTGTGTGTCAGTACTTTCTGACTAGCATGTTAGGATTCATCATCTTGTTTTAATTTTTTTTTTTAATTCGTAAATGATAGCTTTATTACATCCATTTTTACTTTTCAAACTTATTTATACAAGCACACCTCATTATGTCGAAGAATTTATATGTGAATATAACAAATATTGTGAGGATACCAGGGTTTGCAATAGTCTAGGTTATTATTTCCTCAGAAATTTATGTTGATGTATTTTGAAAATGTACGTTGTTGCAATTATCTTGCAATGTAAAGATGCTGGCATAGCAGTGAACATGGATCCCAGCAAGCTATGAATGAATAAATACATTTTAACATCACATTCATTTTCCTTACAGAACCCTGGAGATGCCCTTGCATCTGAAGTTTGAGGAAATGTCAAATACATGCTAAAGGTCCACAGTAAAGTTTAACCACTCCATCACATGCTACATACAGTACATCCTCTTCAGAAGTCTGTGTTCAGTCAGCAGTACCACATTATTTTCTGAAACATTATTTCAGGGTCAACATCCCCATCAACAATAACAGACTAGAAACTGGTGTTCCAAAACATCACTGCTAAGAGTATAACAAATTTGAAGAGAAAATGAATAAAAAAATAGAAAATTCTCTCCATTGCATCAGCCATTACAGGATTCTCAGACAGTAAGAACAGATTGCACGCTGACAATGCTGTACTGGTATCTCTGGACCCCTTAGTCCCTTGTATCTTTGGAATGGTTGTTTTGTAATCAATAATTCTCAGTTCAAAAGAATTTACTGCTCTCTATCAAATCTTTATCTCTTTTTACATAAACTATTTAAATCAAATGAACATTTCTAGAAATTTGAGATCACAAGCTTCAGTACTTCATCATGATCATCTTTTAATTTTGTCAATATTCAAATATTCAGCGTGTTCATAATTGCTATCTAATAAAGGTCTTAATATCATCCTCTTGAACACAAGATTGCTGTGCCTACTACTGAGTCTGGTGTCACACAATAATTCAGTTTTACAGTGCAAGGAAGGGATCAGTTGCTGTTTACACCCGGTGCTCACACCTGGATTTGCTGCATTCCAAGTCTGGGTCCATAATCGCCCCTGCACCACGGCATGGAAAAGGCAACACTCTCTCATCCCCACAGAACCTGCAGCCGTGGTCCCTTTGCCAATATGCTGCTCTAGGGGTTTGGAGAGCATAGGCAGAGCTCACAGGCACGGGGCACAAAGTGACCACTCTTGATTACTCACTTGCTCTGGGATCTCCTTTACACATTAAAATAGGTGCAAACACTTGAGTCTTCTAAACTCTGATGTGGTGAGAGACACAACTGCCAACTGAAGTTGTCCTTATGTAAATAATCAGTTCTATTTTAAATACAAATCTTCTCTCACTTTGAATTTGAAGTTTCCATTTTCATGACATTTAACTATTACTAAACTACACCAAACATCTGCAAGGAGTAATAAGTTTTGGCAGCAGGCAGCTGTGAAGGTTGATAAGTCATCCTCAGTAAAAGCTGCTCTACACATCTTTCTTTGCAGGCTGGCTGTTTTCTGCCCCCCAAGGTAACCAAAATTTCTGACATGTTCCTCTCTTTCGTGGTAATGCTCCCTAATGGGTGCCTTGTCTTGGCTGGAACTATAGCAATGATCACAAAATGAAATCACTTAAACTTCTTTTCTGGAACAGTTTTTTTCTGTTGAAGAAGATCAACAAGTCTGTGATCAAACTTGATCACAATCAAACAATTATATAAATTATTTGAAAACACAGAATTCCTTCTTTCATTCAAGCAAGAATGTCTAATTAAAGGAAGAGAACAAAGAAAACAGATCAATCAAATAAATAACAGAACACCATATGGGAGAAGGTTCCAAGATCTATTTAAGTCCAAAGGGCATGAGACAAATCCCAAAACCCTCCTCTCCCCATTATGGAAAGCCTCTACAACCTCCCAGAAACAAGACAATCACTGCCTGGCCAACATCAGAAAATACTCTTTTGAAGCAAACAAAGACTACAGAAATAATGAGAAATAGTTACAATTATTATTAAATAGTCATGAGAAGGGTTAGAAATACTCACCAATACTTTTCAGGACCTCTGAGAATGACTGATGATGTTCACACTTGAAGAAACATGTGGGGGCAGGTCTCATTCACCAGCTACTAAAACACAGGCTTGTCCCCCAGCACAGTTTTCTGGGGGGTTGTTGTGCCTATAAATTGCACATGACTTTTCCTATATATGCTTGTTTTATGAATAGTATTAAAAAATGGAAACCTTAGATTTCTCCAAAGTCAGCCAACAGGAGATGCAGTTCTCAAGTAGCCCTTTTTTGTTCTTTTACAAAGCATAACAAATATTGTCTTAAAAAACCTACTCTGCTTTTAACTTCTCTGCTTCCGAGATGAAGATCAAGTAAACAAAAATGCTACTCAATGTAAGTGAAATAATACAAAAATTACCTTTCTAACTCAGCAATTTTCTTATCTTTGTCATTCTTCTCATTCTCTACTTCCTTGAGTATTTCTAGAAGTCTGTCAACCTCAGCCTGAGCTTTGCCACATTCTTCTCTATAGTACGATGCCTCTTTGTCCAGCTGTTTCATTCTGTCTGCAAATTCTGGATTCATCCGGGCCTCCTCTTCAGCTTCATGAGCCTTCAGAATCAATATTTCAAAAAAAGATAAGGATGACAAAAACTTAAATAGCCTTTAGAGCTATACTTCTTCAGTCTTGGAGTTGAAGTTTTCGCTAAAAAGGATTATGGGTATTTTTGTCTGATGCTGCTTTGCCACAAATGCATCATAAAACAAAATGAAAATATCTATGTAGTCAAATTCTCCTGAAAGGTGAGGGGATTTTTTAAGCAGGCTTTTACATATTAAAGTGACTCCATTTTAAAGGTGTTGTTCAAATTAAAAAAAAAAAAAAAACCCTCACCTTGTAATTAATTAAATTCACATTAAGCTCAGTGTGTTCTGAATATATAGGCAATTTCTTAACAAGACATGTCCTCTTTATATATAAACACACACACTTTGTCCATGTATAAATGTAGAAACACAGATACATATACACATATTGTGTGTATCTGTATCATCAGATGTCTCAAATGCAGCTTGATACAAAGAGTTTAAAGGAAAGAAATTGTTTTTAATGTAGAGGTGATTTGAAAAGATAAACCAATAAACTAAGAAGCTGCTTTCAGCAGACATCTCACCCAATAATCCTTTTTACCTTATCATTAATACTTAACCTGAAACATCAGAGGAACAAGCCCATTGGTGAAAACAGCACAAACCTGGCAAACACATGCATGGATGGGTGGCAGTTTCACAGACAAGAGAGAAGGCAATGAAAACAACAACAGTGCAGAGCCCAGTCCAACTCCCATCAAACCTAATGGCAAAAACCCAATTAACTTCAATGGGAGCACGACCTGGCACCGAGTGCTTTAAACTGTTGGCTGGAATAATCACAGACAGATGGAAACAACGATGCACTGCAATGCTGAGCCTACCCCTTGCTTCCCATTATTCCTAATTGGCACCTTGAAAGAGCAGGCAAGGAAAAAACAAGTAGTTTAAGGCAGTGCACATTAAACATAGAAAATTCAGGTAACATACAGGATTTTTACAGAAATTCATGATATTTAGAACTGAAGGTCCTCCAACTATCTTAGTACGCAGAGAAGATGTGGACTTACTTATCCTTCTTAATTTCAGGGAATGGACAATGCAAGCAAGCAATGAAAGAAATGCAGATCAAAATGAAGCATGCATGTTTGGGAAAGAATTAATATAAACTACAGATACTAGAAGGCCCATATTCTTTGCAATGGTTAAAATTTTCTGTACAAATAAAGAACAAGTCTGAGTTTACTATAAATACAACAAAAAATTGAAATTAGTAGGGAAGAAACTTAGGGGGTTTGCATGTAACATATCATTTAAGCATGAGGATAATAAGAAAAAGATAGTAGATTTGAAGTGTTACTTATCCTACTCAGAGGTTTTTATTCAGAAGAAATATTTCATCACCAAAAAAAGCCAAAGGAATGACATGAGGAACCTAATAAACCTACTGACCTTGCTCTTCAAAATCTCTTTTGATACATGCTCCAGTCCTGAATTCCATGCAGATACAGGAATTTTTAACCCAGAACTTGTTTCAAGGTAACATTCAAGGAGTAGCTTGATTTTACTGTTTGAGTGAGATGCCAGCAACATATTCCTTTTCAGGCTCCTAATCTTCCTTAGTCACCTTGGGTTTATTTTATACCAGTTGTTAATTGTATCAAGAAATTTACTTTAAACTAGCCTTGTAATTTTTGAAGTCAATTTAATTCTCAGACTCAAAGCCAATTATCTGAGAAAATGCTTCGATTGTCCATCAGTGCTATTATATCATACACTTTTTTATCATTATGTAATTTTGCAAGGAATAAATTAATTCCATAGGTAAATTCACTCTAGAAAAAGAAACACAACCCAATTCCCACCTTCAAGATACTAAGAAACTTGGGCAAAAAGCATATTGTTCCCTATTCTTCAGATTTCTCCTCGTCTTCCAAGGGTTAATCCAGAATTTCACAGTTCCTCTCTAAAGGCTATTGCTGTTTCATGTAATTCCCTGTCACCTTTCTGTCCCTTCCCTTTACTTTGGTACACAATTAATTCCATATCAGCCTTGCTACCATCATTACACAGAGAGGAAAAATACCCACCTTCCTTCCTCTAACCAATCTTCACTTTAGCACAGTCTCAGCTTCAGCCCAAACTTTGTTCCCCATGTAGCTCTACCCTTCTCTTATCCCAGGGCAATGCAGATGAGAGACAGAAGCTTGTCTCTGCTTTTCTGTTTCATTGCCACATTGCACCTTCTACAAGGAAAATGCATAACTGAACATGATAGCACCACCAATGCAGAGGTTCTAAATGTTCTGCTGCCATGGAGTATTCCTGTCACACAGCAGCTCAGAAATGTACTGAAAAAAATTACCTACTGCACAGCTGATAAACAAATCATCACCTGAAATAATAGATATATTCCTCAGTTTAGCCCTTTAAATCTTTGCTTAACAGCATGCTAAGGAAATCAGAATTAAGTTGCAAAAGTATTTTCAGTTCTTGTGTTTTCTGTGGCACTTATGCTATTCTGTATTTGTGGGATGCGTTTCTGGAAAATTCTGCAGCACAAACTGGGTCACTGCATTTCCCCAACATGAAGCAGAACTTCTAAGGTATGATTAAATGTGATTAGGCATCCAACCAATGTCACATATAAATCAATGTAAGCATTCAGTTACTACAAGGTAATTCTTATTTTCGAAAACAAAAAAGCCAACCACCCACCAGTATAGCGAACCAACAATTTAGCTGACTGCCTCTACTTTTCAAAGAATTTTGAGAATCTTTTTTGGACTATTGGCAGGAACCAGATTTCTACAAGGGTACATTGCCCCAATGAATAAGTAAAAGATAATTAGTTAAAAAGGGAGAGCAAGAACAATTTTTACAAAGAGCTTTCTGCAAGTGGTACTTCAACCTGCAATTCCCTTTAAGGGAAAGTTCACACTATAAACAGAGCTGCTGATACCAGAAAAGAGCAAAACACAATCCATCTGACACTGCCAGGACAGAGGCACAGAATTACTTATAAGGCCTCATTTTATTTTATGGCTTTGAAAGATGTGTTTGGATCTGAACTAGGCACCTTTTTGAATTTGTTGTGTACAGATCAGGGGTGATTTGTTGACAGATGGAACTTGACTTTTGAGGTCAAACATTAGTCCCAAAGGAGTGAAAAGGCAGCTCAGCTGATATTGCCCCTGCTCCTGGCAGGACAGGGCAGATTTCTTTGGCTGTCTTTAGGCTGTGGACTGAACTGTGGGATCAGTTCTGGGCAGAAGCTGCATGGTTATCACATGAATCAGAAAGTCTCTGCCTATTTCTGCTGTCTCTCCTTTTTCTGTTTCACTTCTGTCCCTTGTTTACTCCCTAAGTTCCCTGTTGCCTTGGGAAACACATTATCTAGGGGCTTTTATGGGTAAGAGGGACTAGTCCATGTGTCATTTTCAGCTCTCTTAAATCTCTATCTGCAAATGATAACCCTTGTGTGTGCAGATTAGGTTGATTTCAAACTAACCCACTCACTTTATGATGCTTTTTCACCCAATATTGTGACTGATGATGTTGTATGTTATTTTTACAACTTCGTAAAAATAGCATATCAGTCTAGAATTAGAATTTCACAAATTTTTACATTAATTATACATCTGTTCTGATATTTGCTTCATAAGCACTGCAAATGCTTTAGAAGAAAAGTAATATTTCCTTATGTAAACCACAAATTTCCTACAGAAACATCATAACAATGTGGCACAGACATGCAACATGAATTATTTAGGCTATTAAAGTCTTATGGTACAGTCATGAATAATTCTGCATAATAGAAATGGATGGATAGATAGATAAGTATTTCATTTTTAAAGCTTTAGACACAAACATACACAGAAATCAAGTGGGTACTTAAAATTAAAAAAAAGAAAAGGAACAGCAGAATTTACATGCAAGATATTACTTTGTAAGATCCTTCAAATTTTATTACTTGCAACAATAAATGGAAAAAAATATTGTTGTCACATGAATTTTTTTGTCTCTTTAAAACTCAAGCGGTTTTCACTGAACTTTAGGGACTGCTCTAAGTTGTAGAGTATTCTGCAAGTACTTAAAATTTTCATCTGACATTTCTCTGATAGAAGATCTTGGAAAATTTAGTCTTTGACATTCAGATAAAGGTTCACCTGAACTCCAGCAGGATATTTTCATTACAGCACAAAGGCAATAATGTAATTTCTTATTATCAATTTTGCACAAAATCTCATTGGGTATTTCAAAAACTTCACCCTTAAAGCACGAAGAAACATATGTCCAATTCTACTGACAACTTATTCTTAAATATGTAGGAGAAGAAGGAAGGTGAGCAAGATAAGTTTATTTTAAAAAATCATCCTGTGGATATAGCATCTTTTGCCTGGGGCAAAAGGAAAAGGATCTTGCATCCATTGTTTTGCATCTTCCAACAGGCTGTCCCCTTCTGAAAATTAACCACATAAAGGCAGGAAAAAACAGTTAAGGACTGACTTTGGAATACTGCACACAAACAGATTAGGAAGTAACAAATGAATTCTATGCAGCAGAATCACTAATATTGAGTTAATGACTGGCCAGCATTTATGAAAACCAAGCTAAAAACTAACAGGAAAAATACTCCAGTCTGAAAAGCCACGCACAGGAGCAGTGCAAATGATATGAACAGAAACATAACTACCACAAAAGTGACCCAAGATGATACAGGAATAAAAGGGGTTTATCATTGCAAGGAACAAGCTCTTTCTCCAGCACTGTGCCAGAGGGTAGAGGTGATAATATCAGGTTTTTATGTTATTGTGCTACAATTTATGACTAAATTCTAAACACAGGTAACCAATAACTTTAAAAGTAAATACAGCACATTCTGTAGGACTCTTTTTCTATACAAAAGTCATGACATATCCATTACATGGTTAGAACTACAAAACCTAACCATAATAGATTCCAAAGCTGGAATCCTGGTCCATGGACACTGATGGCAAAGCTCCCATTGGCTTCAGTGATGGCAGTACCTCCTCTAATGTTAATTGTAGTATCACATTACTTCAGCTCCAAACCCAGTTCTTCTATATATACACTATCCCAATTACACAGTGATTCTGACTAGGATAACTATGTCAACTATAGCTTTTAAACTGCTCTTACAGTTACATCATTTTTCTGGCCTGTGATGCTCACAGCACATTAAATGTCACAGTCTCAGCCAAAAAGATGGAAACTCCTCTCAGTAGAGAAAATGTTTGTTGCTGCTCTTCCTCAAACTGAAAAAAGAATCAAGTCAAAAGAGATATTGTGCAATTAAAGCAGGCATTGGTGATAATATCAATACCAACCAAGCCAAAGCAACACTGTACTTTTGAAAAAACTGCCCTTTGCATTTCATTTTTTTCAGTATTTTCTTCACTTAAGTATAAACTTTCCATGTTCCTAATGTATATATGCTAAATGTATACACTCTTTCCTGAGTAGAACTGATCTAATTTAGTTATATAGACTTTTGAAAATACTGCTAGTCATTTCCTAGATATTATTATTCATCTAATTAACTCAGTCACAAGATAAACTGGATAAATTAGGAGTTATATAAGTTTGAAGGATCAAATAAAGTACTGCATAAGGAGGGATTAAAAAGCAAAGCAAAAGGAAAAAAAAAAAATTCTGCATGCATTTTCTAATGGAGAAGTTGAGGACCCAAAGGACGTTTGTTTTCTCAGAAACACAGTATGTACCTATTTAACACATTTCAGATTCTTAAAATGGCCTTCAAGTCCACAAAGTTCATTTCTTTGGATATAATGGATACAGCATAGTGAGCACCAGGAGTGTTCTGCAAAGCTCCACAGAGGAAGAGCACAACACAGTAAGGGAATGGATCCTCATGCTTCCATATGTTACAGCGGGCATTTTAAAAATGAACTTACTGGATTGTACATCTGATTGAACAACTGCTCAGCTTGCTACATTGCAAAGTTGGTAGGGAGTGAAGCACAGACAGGAAAAGAAGGAAAGATCCAGGAAAACAGCATTAGCTCAACAAAACCAGTGCATTTGCACAGAAGAACTCGTCATTAAAAAAAAAAAAGGAAAAAAAAAGTAGAAATTTAAGATTCTAAACATTCCTTGGTGAAAGTGAGAGGCACTGGGGAAACATAAATGTTGACTTTGGCTCCTAAAAAAGAATAGCTGGAGTAAGAAATTTAAGGTTTGTGTTACTTTCCCTTTCTCAAGTTAAATAACCCATGAAATAAAGAGAGGTGTCCACTTTTGATGATACATTAAGTGCTGGTCTCAAGCAATGAATCACGAGAAGTGCTTTTGGCTGAGGCTGCAATTTATCACCAAAGCTTCAAAGACAGTAATAATAAAAGATTAATTAAGTAGTATCATTAAATTTATTATTTTCCTTTTGTTTAATACAATACTGAATTTTCTATGCAGAATGACTTTCAAACAGTACAGCTTGGCAAACAGTACTTTAGCAATTGCAAATATGTCAGTATGCAAGTAAATCTAAGATAATGAAAAACAACAAAAGGAGGAAATTCTAGAGTGGATAATAAAGATTATATATACACACATATATATAAAACACTTTGCTACCTATTAGGTAATTCCTGCTGTTCTTTCACAAGTAGCAATACAAAGTAAGTCAACAAAAATCTGTGGAATTTTGGGGAAAAAGCATTGACCATTCTCTGGTATTGAGAATTTTTCTTTTAAAATTTTTTATTAATCTCAATCCATAACAACAAGTATGTTTATAATTTAAAACATTACTTTTTATAACAAAATATAGCAGTCACGTGAATAATTACTTTGTACAAATATCTTTTTCATTATTTTTGAAATGTGCCTACTGTGTAGAATCATGGGTTTAGAATCAGAATATGTTTTTCTTGCTGAACTGCAAAAACTCCAGTTTTGCAGTACTGAAAAATACTTAGATCTAATCAGATCCAATAAAATCCATCTTTATTATCAATAAATGAATCTTATTGTCTCCAAAAAACAGAAGGCTGGGGAGGCGAAACTCTAAAAGTTCTTTTGGTGTTTTTTATTTAGAGTTTTGGTTTGGACTTGCCCCTTGTGCACATTTTCCTTCAGCCATAGCACTTACCACCATTAGTGCTCATGCAAAACTAACTCCCAGCAAGTGTGCACAGAGTACTACCTTCATATATCTTACTTTAATTTGTTAAAACTTACAAATCAACATTGATCTGTAATTATTTTACAGCAGCATAACAAAGTACCTCCTCTGTGATATTTTTAGAGAGGAGTACTGTGTAAGCTAACTGGAATTTTTTCAAGGAGACAGCCCCTTGGAGTGGGTTTGGAAAGAGAGATGCAAACTGTGCCAGATCCCTGTGCTGCTGCAGTGGCTGATGCTCACACGTGGGTTCATTTATGACCCTGTTGCTGTCCCCTCCTCCTCTGACCCAGACATGTGCCAGAGTGACCCAGGGTTCTGTTTCTCTCAAGTTTCCTGAGGAGTGAGAACACGGTGCAGGAATTTTTCTGGGGACCAATTACTTTTAACGCAGGGTATTTACAGGTTGGAACATAAAGTATTTCATTAAAGAAAATGTGAATTGAAAATGACTGTTTGGAGTCTCCTGTCATTAACAGTCACTGTTTCTGTTCAATTAAGCATGCCCAGAAAGAAGGCTGTAACTACATTTTATTGTGGAAATACCTGGTCTCCTACAAATGGTAGGTGAATTTCCATTGGGACATTATGCTGTATTTATGATATAATAAAACTATTATGTTTTCAACTTTAATTCAATAACTGTTTGTATTTATACACAAGAAACATGCTCCCTTTTCATACAAAAGACATCCCAGACACTCTCTGACTTTTGTAAGTGCTTGTTTTTCCATGACTGTATGATGTGTTTATATGTACAGTCATAAACGATTGACTTAGGATTTCAAGTCCTTCAAGAGGATTTTGATGAGGGTTTTTTAAGTGATCTGTGCTTCCAGCGTTCTTTTAACTATTTTTTTTAAACAAAGGAAAGAAAAAGATATTTCAGATTGTAATGAGGTATCTGTTGTGGTGGAGTGCAAAGTAAGCAAATGTAAATTCCAACAAACTAAAGCAAACTAAATGACTTCCAGAGAAACCTTTTCTTTGGAGATTTTAATTCTGCCATCAAAAGTATTTTTAAGCTATGGGACATTTAAATTATTTGTGCTTTCATTTGTATATGTTTATTGAAAAAAAGGTTCCCTTCCTCTCAACTAAAGTTCTAATGCAGGCACCTAATTGCACATATTCATTCTGAATTAAGAAAGAATACAAGTAGAAGGTTTACACACTGGTATCCTTTATACTTTGCAATACCTTCTTCACAGGCCAGGCTATTGAAACAATGCTTAATCACTGAGCAGGATACTACTCAACCTGGGTAAAAAGAGTGTCAGGATATTATGCTAACAGTGATAACATTCACAGAACAAATATTATTTACTAGAAAATGAAAAACCATATCAATATTAAAAAAAAAACCAAAAAAAACAAAAACAAACGCTTGATGTACACTTAGTCATGAATTGCAGAAGGCAAACGTAATGCCTGACCCCATCAAATACATAATGAGAACAATGAGAGCAGACATTATCAAACAACACAGAGAAAGGTCAAAGAAACCATGGTATCAAAACACTTGCAAATCATTTAAGCAAAATCTAGTTTATTGCAGCAGTTTAAGTAAAACCGTGTAATAAAATACAAGGTTTGTATGTTTTCCTTTAAATGCTTGCTTCCACTTCTTGCTGAATAGAAATACTGAACTGCCAGCTGATATAAACTTTTGATTATTTTGCTTAATTATCACAAATGTGTTCACCAACAAAGCCAAAAATACATCAAAATAAAACCTAGCTAGAATTTTCATTTTAGAAGCTGATTTTTTTGATTAGGAACGCCAGCATTTCTTGGACAAGCCTTTAATTTTTTTCTGATCCTGCAAACATTTCAGTTTACTTTTAATAGTGGTGTTAATTCACATACATATAAATTGCTGTTTTGATAATTTCTTTCTGCCCTTTTCCCTCCAATGTCCTGCTCTCAGTTCATCTATTTATTGCAGCTTCTCAGAATTCCCTCATAGAGGTACTCAGGACAATTTCTGAGGCTCACTAGTGGCTTTGGTACAAACCTCTTGAGAAAAAACAGTATTTGATGCAAGCATCAGCAAACAGCATAAGATGGGTCGATTCTAGATTTACTCCAGAAGAGTAAATGAGCTCATCATTTCAAAATGAGGGTATGGGATGCTGATTTTTGTTTTGCTGGTTGTTTGTTTTAAGATGGAACTTACCTTTTTCAACTGTGCTTCCAACTTACTACACTCTTCTTTCTTTTGTTCTATGGCTATTTCTAAAGACTTAAGTTTGGAGTCTCTTTTCAGCCCTGCTGATGCCAATGAAGATGCATGTTCTTTGAGATCGATTAAACTAGACTGGAAAACGACCAAGAGTAAAAAGTTAATTCCTAGTCACCGGGACACTAACTCATTGCCAACTTAGCAATCACTTGGATCCTGCTCCCCCTCCCCCAAAAAGAGTTGACTCAAAGATAAGCATTGATAGCAAAAGACACCATTTTGTGCATACAACTGGAACCACGGGAGCTGGCATGCAGAGAAACACAAACATTCATCATACAGACGAGCTCGTGTCATATTCTGGAGGTACAAACACACTGAAAACTGCTTCTCTAACTGACAAACAGGAACAGGAGCAGCAATGGAATATCTGGGCCCAGTGGAAGCTTAGGTAAAGGACAAAGTAGAGGTTATGATGCACAACTATGTAAAAACTGAAGCAATATTTTATGTACAAATAAGGACTGTGAAAAATGCTTAAGAAAGCAGCAGGTCTGAAGCTGAACACTCAAGTGGCAGAATTTCAGTACTCAGCATGATTCAAGAGTAATCCTAATGCACTTTAATCCTAATGACATACATAGAAGAGCAGAGTTTTTAAGGAAAGACTAACCTCCTTTTCTGTCAGTTCAGCTTGTAAAGCATTAACTTTCTCCTTCAGGTCCTTGTTTTCTTTTTTATAAGATTCAATTTCTTCAAGTCTTTCTCTGTCATCTCGATCCCTTTGCTCCTTCAGACGCTCTATTATTCTTTCCTAACAAGAGGAAGAATTGCAAAACGGAAAAGTTGTGAATCATTTTAAGAAAAGACAGAATTAAATTTGTTTGCATTATGTAGCACTTTAAAAAAAAACAAAACCTTCAGAAGCAGAGAATGATTGAGTTAATGGTATTAAAGTAATGCAAGATGTTTCTAGATTTCAAAATCATAAGATCAAGTTTTAAATACTTGAGAAGAGTAACACAGTACAGGAACTTCATTAAAGAGCTATACTGACATGAGCATGTTTCATTTTGTGATAGATGTGGAAAGATATTCAGTTCAATATTGTATTTCCTGTATTCCTAAGTGACTGAAGTCTTGAATGAAAGTTCAAAACAAGCCATGAATAGTTTCCTCAGAGGCCATGACCAGTTAACTCAGCTACAATTCTGTTATTACTCTATAGTGCTTGCAATAAGATGTCATGGTTCCAGATCTAACCAGAAATCAGCCACTTGCTGATGATCAGTAATTTGCAGTTTATATGTATTATGTTTTGAGATGTCAAAAAACAGTTGCCCAAGACACAGAAGAAGTAGTCTGATACAGATTAACAGAAAGGAAGATTTTTCTCTATCTAATTAACAGTAACTCTACAGACATTTAAACCATGTTTTTGCATATTTTGCTGATTTCCAAGAACTATTTCAACGATTGCTGAAAATCACCAGTCATTGATTGGGTGATTAACTCAAAGGGTGAAATGGAAAAAGCAGATACAGTAGCATGGTTTTATTAAGCTCTGATTATGTTCTACAAAATCATGTTTCATCAATACTTAGAGGATGCAAATACTTATCAGAGAGAAACACTTAGGGTACAATGAAATAACCACTAGAATTACATTTCAATTGGAAGCAGGTCTTGAAGCAGAGTATCAGAATTATTGGTACCATTTGGGTGGTGGCAGGCAGGGGGGCAGCAGAAGCAGCATCATTTTGGTCCTGCACCTGGATCAGAGCAATCCCAGGCTCAGCAGAGAACAGACAGAGCAGCCCAGAGGAGGAGGACTTGGTTGTGTACAGTGACAAAAAGCTCAGCATGACTCAGCCATGAGCACTCAGAGCCCAGAAAACCACCTGTGTGCCTGGGCTGCATCCAAAGCAGTGTGGCCAGCAGGACAGGGGAGGTGACAGCACCTGTGTCCTGTCCTGCCCTGCTGGCACCCACCTGGGCCAGAGCTGCACCCAGTGCTGGGCCCAAGGCAAGGACAGACATGGCTGGAGAGGGTCCTGAGGAGGGTCAGGAAGGTCTAAGGCTGTGACAACCTGGTCTAATGGAAGGTGTCCCTGCCCACAGCAAGGGGGATGGAACTGAGTGATGATCTTTAATGTCCTTCCAATCTAAACTTATGACACTAAACAACTTCAGATTTATTCCTAACAAACAATATAAATTCTTAATGCCTTGAATATCAACATGCCAGCTACCATAAAGTAGAACAGCTTAATAATCATAAACATTCAGATTCCACATGGTTATATTCAGAATTAGTTTAATACCAATTCCTTTTCCAAGATTTATTTACCCAAATGATTTTTTCATCTATAACAAATTAAACATAACACTATTTCATCTTTTTAATGAACAGTATATTTTTTTCTCAGTCAATCACAAAAGAAGACTAATTTATCTGTCAGCTGCATAAGGCTAAATGTCAAAAACGTGTTAAAAGGCCCTAATATACCATGTTTTACTTGATTAACAGCTAACTTGCAGAAATCCCAACAATGTGTTCTTGTTTCAGTCTTGTTTGCATTGGGCAGCTCTCCTCATGCACTAATCTGGGACCTCACAGGTCTAATCTATTTGCACTTTATCACAGAAGCAGGAACTGAATTGCCCCAGCATATAGCTCCATTATCAGACATACTCCATTGCTTATCTGCTGTATGCTGCTACAGTAGGACCAACTTTATAAATATCAGCTTCATGAAAGCAACCTCTTGAGCTGCTTTGGGCCAGTCCAAGAGCTGAGATATTCTTTGAAAAGTTTCTTGTTATAACATCAAGGCAGCTGATAGCACTTTTGCACAGTCTGATTTTCAAACTCCTTTTCTTATTTTTTAATTGCAATGTAATCCTTATTGTTGTTGTTACAAATTTTCAGTGCTTTGGAGAGGTTCTGAAATTAGGGATAAATAGTTGAATGAATATGTTTTGCAGCTTAGTTCTAAAATGAACTCAAATGAGACTGAAGTTGATTTGTTTCCGATTCCTGACAAGAGGACAAATCACACTGGCAATATCATCAGAAAAATACTAAGATTAAAAGAAGGAAAAATTGACATTGTTTTATGATGCCTACATTAATTTCCAATTTAGTGTTCCCAAGATACCTAATCACTAAATAGGGAAGAAAATCAAGAAACAGATACTTGGAAAAATCTATTTTCATAAAGAATAAGGGGATACATTTTCTAATTCAGAGCCAAAATCTTAACTGTGTATTTTCAAGAAAAATGCAGAAAAACATTTGAGTTTTGGACTTTAAAACCAGGTTTATAATTCATTAATATCATATGATCATGTTTTAATTTGTTTTTCTTCCTATAGAAGCTAAGAAAAGCAATTCAATCAGATTGCAGTAAATTGTGGTTAGCTAAACTCGTATGAATAAATTTTATTTCTATTTTTAAAAAGCTTCCCATTATGCTCTTGAAGACTTTTATTTTATTATTTTTAAATTAAAATTCTAAAAAACTATTGAATGGACAAAGACTAAATATAATGCAAAAACCAGCCTAATCTCAGTATAGACAAAAAATTATATAGTTGAAATGTATGTCTGATGCAAAGAAAAACAAAGCATGCAAACAATGCATTTCCATGGAAATGGAAATCAGGTATTCTTAAATAAAAGCATCATCCTTTCTTGACAGCATTTCATATTGAATTGATAAAAGTACTTATATTGATGCACTTCTGAAGGAAAAACTCACGAAGGGTTCCTGTTTTGTTCCATTTGGACAAACCTCTATTCCATATTTCTACCAGTATTTCCATTGGAGTTATTTAATAATTGTTGATAAAGTCTGTAGGTCTTAGGAATGCTATTGCATAAGGAGTTCCTGAGAGCAGTTGGGATGACTTGGGAAGCTGGACACAGAAAGGAATGAGGCACATGTGTAAACACACACTGTTAAAGTATTTAGCTGCCAGAAGACAGAAGAAAGCCAGGCATAATTGTCCATTTGGAATTTCTAGGTTACTGGCTTCTTTCAATGTGTAAGTACATCCCAGGAATCACACCTGACTTGGAAAAATCTGCCCTTCCAAGTCTGGCCTTCCAGGGACTTACAATGGAAAAGAAATTGAGAGTGATTTCCCTGTACAACAAACAATCAAAATCATACAGAGAGATGCATTTACCTTGGAAACTTTCTCCTCATTGTCTCATGCTCTCAGATCATTTTCAGAAGCTAATCTGAATCCTAACTCTGCAGTGTTGCTTGCCTCCTACTCCTATGCAAGTCTCCACTGTGACAGTCACTCTGCTTCCCAAAGGACTGCTTTAAAAACCCCTCAGCCGCCCCTGTGGGCATTTTGGGAAAGTCATTAATCCAGAAAAGATAGTTTACATGGAGAGAAAATAGATTAAAATGTACTTTCTGTCATTTTTTATTAATATGCTGCGAAATTGATGAGCACTGTGTCCAGATTAGCAGCGAAAGATTACAGAAATGTGTAATTTTACTGTATAAGTAAATGTTTATCCACATGAATCAATACTAATGACAACTTTTTTCACTGTTGTCGACCAAGCAAATGCTAGGAAAACAATTAAACGCACAAGAAATAAAAAAATCTGACATTAACATTGTATGTGTCAGTGCCAGCACCACAGAGGCATTTCCAAGTCATATACAGTCATAAATAGCTTCATAGGATTACACACTGCAGCATGGCACATATTACTTTAATTAGTCACACTCACCTGTTCACATTTAAGCAGCATATATTAAGATCTGTGAGCTGCAAAATGTGGATATTTGTACTAATTTTTTGGGCATATAAATTCACTTGCATTGCCTCGTATTCAAAGCTCACTGAAAGAGGAAACCTGACCTCACTGAAACTGGTAGGAATGTTGCCACTAAGTTAAACAGTCCAGATTTATCCCTTCTCCTAGGTATTTTTCAAATTAAAGGCATAGAGTTTGTAAAGGAAAAAAAAAGGAGTTCTCAAATATTTTTTTTATTAAACAGTTTCCCTTAAAAATGAAGTGTAGGAAGCCAGTAGTGCTCATAGTAAGGCAAGGTAACAGCTGGTACAGTCACTTGCTCTTGGCCCTTGCTTAATGGACAAAAGAACAGGATAATCAAGATCACAAAGACAGAAAAATGCCCAAAACTCTACCTTCTTTAAGTCAGGTGTCCAATGCCTTTCAGTTCTTTCAGGGAATAACCACTCATCTCATTGACTAAGGCAAAATCTTCCCGTGTCCTGGGCCATTTTCTCTGTGACCATTCAAAGGACATCACTCCTTGCCCTCCACATCCTGTGTCAGTTCATCTCCTGGCATCACTCCCTGCTCATCCTCCCAGAACAGGGCCACCTGCTTCCCTGACAGGGTCCATAGCCTTTGGGAGAGCTGTCAGGCCAACTTAGAAGAACATTTTCTGCACATACTTCACCCACAAGAGCAGCACATAAAGCTTTTCATGAGAAAACATTTACCTTTTCTGATAGAGCCTCCTCTAAGGTTGCTAGTGCTGTGTCTGTATTACTGGAATCTGTCTGCAGCGACTTCACTCTGTCTTTTAGATTAGTTAGTTGTTTGTCTTTGTCCCTAAGTTGCTCCTGTAGATTTTCAATCTGTAAATAAAAACATTACAATAATCATCAACCTTGTCATAACTTTCCAAGAGGGACTTGGGTGCTGAGTGTATAAACATCACACATATGATACACATGCCCCAGTATACTGCCAGGTTTGTTACTGCTATATCATCAACAGTTTTCAATTTCAGGCCTTTCTATTCTCTTTTCTTTTGCTGAAGAAGTATAATTTTCTAATCAAATAGAGGAAAAATCTCAATGTAGTCAGGTATTTTATTATTTAAATATTTTCTGATATTAATCACTCTCGTTTAAGGTACTGCATTATCTCAGTAATTCAAAGTATGTCTGGAATTACCCCTTTAGATTATTCTAGTTCAATAAGAAGGACAAAGAAAGGGTGAGGCAAAGCACGTTGAGTGAGCCTTAAAATGAGGATGAAGAAAGATTATAACCTGCCTATCTAAAAATCTCTTCTTCCATGATGCCCTGCTGTAAAGAAAACTCAGCTGGGTAGAGATCAGGATGTTTATTCTTAAAAAGGCCAAACCCACAACCAACCAAACAAAAAATCTCAAGGGACACCACTTCCATTCACTTTCTTCACCTCCACGAGTAAAATATGTCACTCTATTTCGGATATTTTAACTTCTTTAAATAAATCTGGTTCCTCATCTAGAAAGCATCTGCACATACTGCTCAAGTACCTCTAAGCACACTGTTATGATTTATAGTGGTTAAACCAGGAAGAGTTAAATCAAAGAGTTTTGCACAGAAAGTTGTCCACAGAGCAATGTGGACTTTGGAAGCAAAGGTGAATAAAAGCACTCAGCTGCTGATGGGCATGGCAATCCCCTGGTGACCTCTGGGCAGAATGCAGGGGGACGTGTGTTACGTCAGATGTGTAAAATTTCATTAATTGTCTGTTGGAAGAACCCCCTCCCTCCATCCTGCACTCTCAGTGCCATTCATTATTATGCACGAACTGGCACAAACCCAAGATTTGTTACTTAAGACTTCACACAAATAAATAGTAACAAGAAAATTAACTAGTCTGTTATTTCAGCACGCCACTTTAGATAATATAAGAAAATATGTCAAAATCCATGAAGTATCATTTGTTCAAAACTGGTTTTAAATATGTTGTCAACATTAGACAAATTATTACTGTCAACAGATATTCAAATTCTTCCATCAGTGATTTTTCACTCTGGATCACGTTCTCTTGCTACTGAAATTATTTCAGTTTTCCTGCTCATTTTATAATGTAATGATTTTTTTTCATATAGCCAATACCTTTCCATTTAAAGCAACTCTGATTTTAACAGAAGCAGGAGCCTTTACAGTTACTTTAAGGACTTCTTTACAAACCTGAAGTTGAATTCAATGCATGTGCAGCTCTGCAGAAGTCAACAGTTATGTCAATAAAAATTTGATCTCCATATGCAAGAACATACCACCATAATCAAATACACTTTAATTTGGGGCACACTTTGGTAAAAATTCTCCTCCTCCTACATTATACAAGTGCAGGAGAAAAAATCCTGAAGTTTTGACATCATACATATCTACAATTAACAAGTCATAAAATCCACAGCACAGCTGTGTGTACTGTATAAAGTGTGTTTTAAAAAAATAAATTTTAAAAGAATTTAAATTAAAATAAAATTTGAAAATCTTAAATTTGGAGGAGCACAATTCAATTAGAAATTCTTTATAGTATGGCAAATACAAGTCTTGTACTTTTTTTTCTTTTTCTTTTTTTATATACATAGTTTGGTATATCAGATTACTGCTATGAGCCAAAGATTCCACTTGCTGTGTAAACTATAAAATACTAAGGAATATGTAGAAAGGTCTTTTTGGGAAGACCTGACATAGAATAGCTTACTCTTGTGAATGACCTCTTGCAATATTTTCCTTCGTGTGTATATTTTATACAGATACAGAAACATGATACACGTGTTAATGAGTTAAGAACTTTTTATTTTATGGCATGTGTATTAGTCACATCTAAAATTACATTAACTGGAATTCAGAGGACTGCACACTATGTTTCTTTCTTTACTTTATCCAAGTATTAATGATTCCAACAACTACCTCATGACACCCTGTGGAATACTTAAGCAATTGCACGTTTCAGTTTCACCAAAACAAATCCTCAAGTAAAAGGGAAATAAAACAGGAGAGTGAATATTGATTACATGTTCTTTGAAACAAAGTTAAGTTCTGGTCCTTTACTATCATCAGCTTGACCTACCAATTCTAGGCACCCTAAATTAAAGTACTTATTTCCTATGCACAGTGCTTATCTGAATTCCACAGCATTTACACGATTTCCTTCCTCTTAAAACTAATTGAAAATATGAGCCAACCCTTAACCAAGAAAACATGTTCTAAAATTATTCAGCATTTACAAAATTCTTTCCTCAGAGGTAAAAGAGAACAGGCAGCAAATTAAAAACATCCCCATTGAATCACAACTGCTTCAAAACAAGTCGCTCAATACACACTCCATAGATAAAACATGAGGAAAGGATCTAATTATTCTTCTATTTGTGCTACATAAACCTGAAGGAAATACTTTGATGGGAACAGGACCACACTGGGGTATGCAAAAGTAGAATGAGTACCACAGAGTATTTGTTTGTTGGGATGGGCACAGGATTAGCAAAGACCTACTGATGCAGACAAGACTCTATGACCATTTAACCACAGAGTTCTCTCAACAAGATGGCAGGAGACAAAGAGATTGAGAGGTCTCACATGCTAAAATCTTGGAACACAAGATATGATTTAGTTCTTCCTGAGTTTCTTAAACCCAAAAAGAACAACAAACTCTCTGATAACCTCTGTCATGCTCCAACATACATATATATATATTCGGATACAAGCATTTATGTAAGAATGCAATTCTATTATTGAATAATGACTTTTGAGCGTGCTTGAATTCAGTTTATGGCAGGGGCTGTTAAGACCTTCTTAATCCTCAAGTACTTATATTTTTTTCTGGTAGGAAGTTACTGTGAAGTTTTGTCAACATTTCTTACCTCTATAAACTGCTATGTCCCTGTGCCAGGATGAAAAGAAACTGCTCTATTCTTTCTGTATTTCAGAAAGTGTGTATCTTCCCAGGGCTTAACCCATACTTTATTCCTTCTTTTAAAACAATACCCTTACAGATAAATGTCTTTCCTTTGAGGAATCCTGTCAATAAACCTCAACTGCTAATCTTGTCACCTTTTGGCGACAGTCTCAGGAATGCTTATTAAATACTCAAGGGATTAAATTAAATCTCACCTGCAGACAGGCTTTAAAATTCTCCAGTAACCCAAGTTCTCAAAAGAAAATTCCTTTCATTGTCAAAATTAGGGTACTGTACTATGGAACTTGCCAGAAAATTATATAATCAAAGAAAATGTTCCATGCTGCAACAATTTGCCTTCAGAGATATGCACTAAGGTACAAGAGAATTTAAGAACCTGTAAGAGTGAAATTACCTAAGACTCCTTGGGCCTAGCAAATGAAACCATTAAGCCATGTATTTGAACTTAGCTGCAAGTATTTCCCTCTCTGCTCTGTACTTGAGTTTTAAATAACTCAGACAATAAGTATTTTGTAACAATGGGTTTTTTACTCCAAAAGTTCATTTTGCTCTAAATTCCTATAAGCAGAAGTCTTCAAGATCTGTTTCATATTGAAGTGGAGCCCACGTCAATTCCAGTGAAGTAGATCAATAATATAAGTTTAGATTGATATAAATTTAAAATTGAAACCTAGGAGAGAAAACAGAACTTTTATATATATCATTTGCATTACTTACCCCCCCAAAAAAAATCTTTGTATTTTAAGAAAGTCAATCCAACTAAACAATTTTCCAAGTACTGTTACAGGCTACGTTAAACAAGTACTGGCATTACAAGAAAAAGGGATTTAATAAGCAGCATTCTTCCAACATAAGCATTATCTATGACTACTTTAAAACTTAGTATTCATTTTCAGACTTTAGCTTCTGCCTTAAAGACATAGATAACAAAAGACAAACGTAATATAGCTATTAATCAAAACAGAAAAAAACATAGTTCAAACATAAAACTAAATGGCTACTTACACATAATTTATTTTTATTAGGAAGACTCGTGGTAAATGTTCTGGCTCATATGGTCCTTTTCAGAAACATCTCAGGACATCTCAGAACATGAAACCAGCTCTGGGAGTGACTCAGCAAAATAGATGTCTACAGACATCCCAACATCTCCTTTTGGTGTGTGTGGATGCGTGCATGCTTAATTTGTAATGGAACGGCTGGAAAAAATGGAATTACTTTACCCTACCATGACTGTAAAAATATCACTACCTGAGTAGTAATAGGAGACTGATACAGAGGTATAGTTTTTGGAGAGCACTATTGATTTTTAGCAAGAATTTTTTTACCAAATGGTGTACAGTTACTAAATATCATATCAGCCAAAATATTTGAAAATTAACAGGTTTTACAGCAGTTATTTCAAGTTCCAGTGTATGGACTGAGGGGGAAAATTTTCCTTAGAGTCACGATACCACCTAAATTAGTTCTTAGATTAAGCAGAATTTCCAATAATAAAATGAGCTTATTGAGGGACAACTTCTGCTTCAGCAGTTTGACATTGCAGATTGCCTTTGGACTTGTAAGAGATTGCCCCAAAAGTGCTTTCTCAACCAGTGCCAGTAACTTTCATTTTGTTTTTTTCCTTTAAGGAGGTAGATGAACAAGCATTAACTAGGAATATTGTTTTCGAAAGTAAAATATCACATCCTTTTAGATTCCAAAAATAAAAATAAATGTTATGTTTAAAAATTCTCCTATAATTTAAAATTCCTTAATATATTATAAAATAAGGGGTTGCTGCTTGCAGTTGAACATGTTTATTAAAGTGTAAGATTTGTACTAATCTTTTGCTCAATGTAACTGGAAAAAAGCTTGTAAAGCTTATAATGACATGATAAAATACTCTTGGATTCCATAAGCAGATCCAATATCCACTAAAGTGCTTGAT